CGCGGAGGCGCCCCCCCCCCCCCCAAGATGAGTGTGCACCCAACCGTGGGGCTGGGGGCTCCCCCCGGGATGAGCGTGCGCGCCACGGTCCATCTGACAGCCACTGTGTGCCCTCACGGCAGCCCAGATGTGACTGGCATTGGGCTGCAAAGCGCGTCAGTCTGGCAGAGTGTGGGGATGAGTCCAGCCATCACCCACCATCATCGTCCAAATCGGCCGAGTCCCCTCGCCCGGGCACTGGGGAGGGATTTGGGGCGGCCCCCTCTGGCTCCCGAACACCGAACCCTTGCGGTGGCAGCGGTGGCGGTACTGGGGCCACACGCGGTGGCATCCTTCGGGCTTGGCGGTCGCGTCCCCATCCAGAGGAGCAGCGCACCGGGGGGCCACCCTCTCCCAGGCAGTGGGTGACCGGCTCGAGGGTCCCTGCCAGTGGTTGTGGGGGGGACAAGCGGTGCAGGGGACGCTCTGTGCAAAGGGAGCAGGAAGGCCGCAGTGCAGCGGGGAGATGCTTGGCCTCCCCCAATACCCGGCAGCGTCTCCGTTGGGCGGCAGGTCAAGACGCTTTCGGGCAGCAGAGCCAGAAGTGGCGATGTGTTGCCAGTGCCCACACACCCAGGAGGAGCCCCGTGATGCCTCTGCAGCCTGGGATAGCCGGGACAGGACTGGTGCCATCCCTGTGCCGCCGTGACCCCCCATCGCAGGCGCTTGAGCCGCCGCCACCCCATGGCCGGGCCACGGCCGCTCCCCACCACAAAACGCTCTAAAAATAACGCAGGGCTGGGGGGAGCGCCCGCGCCTCCAGATGTTGGCCAATAATGCGCTGGCGCGGAAGGAGAGATGCCCCGATTTGACTCAGCCCGCCATTCCCCGCTGCCGTCGGACCGCGGGTGCTCCCTGCCCGGCTCCCTGTGCCCATGCCGGCGGTGGCGGTGCCTCCCGGTTGCTACGCGACACCCGCGCGGGCGAGCTGCCACGGCTCACCTACACTTTATTTATTTTAACGCTCGTTTCTCAAGCCTTTGTCATTTTTAACAAGAAACTGGCTCTCCATCACCGAGGCGAAGGCGTCTGCCAGCCCGGCCCCCTTCCCGAAAGCTGTTCTCCAGCTCCTTGTGCTGGCCAAATTTTCAGGGGTGCTCCGTTTCTCCAGAAGACCACTTTGCTCCTGAGCACCCTCTCCCTGTGCGAGCCCTTTGCTTCCCCATGTAGCACTGCAGAGAACGAGCACAGCTCATGCCACATGTGGGATGCTCCGGGCCTGACCACCGGCATGCCGTCTCCCCCTGCTCCTGCCCTGTCACCCCGTGCCAGCGGCGCTGCCAGGGGAGCCGGACACCCTGGCCTCGTCACGGGGAGCTGCTTTAACGAGGTCACTGCCCGCTGCCACTCTTGATTACCCTGCTAGGCACAGCAGTTATTTTGCGTGCGGGAAACAGCGTCACTGCGCCGGTGCCAGCTGTGCCGCCAGTGAGCCACGGCATGCCCAGCCTGGGATGGGTTTTTAATCAGTTGCGGGGGGACCCTCGCTGTGCGACAGTCCCAGGTGGGGATGGGGGATCGCCACCACACCTACCAGCCCACGCGGACGGCATGCTCGGTGGCACGCGGATGCATGAGATGGCATTTTGGGGCTTTCCGGCAGCTTTCCTAACAGATCTCTGTCTTCCAGGAACCTCGGGAAGTCGGGGCTGCGTGTGTCCTGCCTGGGCCTGGGTAAGTGCTGGGGTTTGCCGTGGCCCCTCCACAGTTCCTCTGTCCTGCGCCTGGTGCCGGCATTCCTTGTCAAGGGCAGCGCTTGCCTGGTCCGGCGATGCTTTGCGAAGGGAAGGAAAGGGTTTTCCTCTGGCCCAGCGGCGGTTTTGAGAAGCGGCCCAGAAGTTGTCAAATTATTTTCTCTTTTTCTTCTCCAACATGATAGGAAGTGACCGGGCTATGCTGGGAGCGCCGTGCCGCACGCGGCGGGGCCAACTGTGGCCGCTGCGTGCCGGGGCTGTGCCAGGGCAGTCGGGGCGGGTGGCCGGGGGCTCGAGGCAGCAGTGTTCGGCGCTCGCCGCGTTCACTGTGTGTGCACCCTCTCTCCTCCGCAGGGACGTGGGTGACTTTTGGAGGGCAAATCACAGATGAGGTAAGGATCGCACCCCCTCGCCCCGTCCCTCCCCAGCCCTTCCCGAGTGAAGTGGGGAATGGATGGGGCCGGCACAGCCACGGCTGCTGGTTTTGGTGCATGTGGCGTGCCAGAGCTCATCAGCACTCACGAGCGTGTGCCTCTGCGCTCCGGCTCTCGGCCACCCCCTTTGCCGACCCTCCCTGCTCTCCCCTCACAGATGGCAGAGCAGCTGATGACTTTAGCCTACGACAACGGCATTAATCTCTTTGACACGGCAGAAGTCTACGCTGCCGGCAAGTAAGTACCCCACTTCAGCAGCGGCACAAGGGGCCTCTCACCGTGCACCCTGGACTCCAGCACCTCCAAACTGCGGCAGTGCTGGGAGTCTCCGGCTTTGCTGGCTGCAAAGCGGCGGGATGGGGCAGCGAGCGCTTGCTCGCAGAGGGGTCACAGCTCGTGCGGTTCTGGGCTGCCTGTGCCACACAAGCGCAGCCGTGCACCCTCCCTGGCACGGCAGACCGCACCTGTGCCCAGGTTACAGTGCCCCAGAGGCATCACGGCGTGCCCACGCGCCCACTTAAAAACGGCAAGCTCATGCATCGGGGAGGGGGGAATGGTGTCCCTGCGGCCACCACGTTTGCCTCTTAGTCTCCTGGGGACCGAGGGCCATCCCTGCTGGCTGCCACCGCTCCCCATGGCCGCAGCAGCCAGGGTGCCGGCAGCTGACCTCCCCTTCTCTTGTAGGGCCGAGGTGGTGCTGGGGAACATCATCAAGAAGAAAGGGTGGAGGTAAGCCGGACTTCATTCCAGTGCGGCAAAGCCATCACGGCGGTGCTGATGGGCTGGGTAAAACCGGTGGAGCAGCCCTGGGCATGAATGCACACGGGGCTTTGCAGGTGCTGCTGCTGATGACCCTCTTTTTCTCTCTGCAGACGGTCCAGCCTGGTCATCACCACCAAAATCTTCTGGGGAGGAAAGTAGGTAGCGCACCCACCCCGCGGCAGAGCGGCTGGAGCGTGCCAGGCTCTCACCCACCTTTCCTTTTCCAGGGCTGAGACGGAGAGGGGCCTGTCCCGAAAGCACATCATAGAAGGTAGGGATGCTTGCCAGGTGCTGCCGGCCTCGGCGCCAGGCTATGCCTCCACCGGCTGCCTCGCCAGCTGGTGCCACCACGCCTGACGGCGCCCTCGGTGCGGCAGGTCTGAAGGCGTCACTGGAACGGCTGCAGCTGGAGTACGTGGATGTGGTGTTCGCCAACCGGCCCGATCCCAACACACCAATGGAAGGTGAGTGCCACGCCACGGTGCCACGCTCCTCCCTGCCGCCTTTTGTTGCCGTCGCAGTTGGTTTGTGCCAGGCTTTTATCTAAGGGCATTTTCCCTTCCCGAGCAGAAACCGCTCCTCCACCGCCACGGTCAGCCCACGCCGCGGTTAAGCCTCTGCCACCCCCAGCCCAGCACCGGGACCCTCCTTGGGCTGCGGCAGGGATGGGTTGGTGGCACGGCAGCAGGTCGCTGACCCCATCCCGGCGAGCCACTCGCTCTGCTCCGCTGGCAGTGGCCAACTGCGCGCGCTCTAAATCTCTCTTTTATCACCAGGGGACCCATTTAGTTCCTCCAAGTCCAGGACTTTCATCGTAGAAGGTACTCTCTGCCCGTAGAAGGGCCGCTGCCTGTGTCCCAGCGGCATTTCCTGGGGCAGAACCCCCACTCCTCTGCGATTTCCATCCCGTTCCCTCCCACCCCGAGCAAACCCTGCCATAAAATGCACAGGCAGCAGCAGCAGCACAACAAAAACAGCCCCCCGGCCCCTTCAGACCATCTGGCAGTTAAAGGGGACAAGAGCAAAGAGGGTCCCCAGCCTCCTTGCCACGGGGCACCCTTTGCAGCCGTGCCGGGGACCGCGGCAGGGTCTCTCCTCACCACAGCAGCTGTGAGCACGCCGGGGCGTGCGCTCCGGTGCCGGCCAGGCAAGCCTTGCGCCCCTCGCTCTCCCCGCTGCCTGCCTTTGGCTGCAGGAGTGCGCCTTGGCTTGGCCCCAGCCCGCATGGCTCAGGGACGGCTCCCCTGAGACCCCCGCGCCCTGCACGTGGGGTCCGGGCTTCCCTCCCTCTCCTGGGTCTCGGCACACGGGCGACGCTTCAGGTCCCTCTCCCACAGTGATGCCAAGCGTGGTGCCGGTGCTGGTGCCCTGAGGGGTGCAGTGCCAGGAGCCTCGGGCTGCTCTCTGTGCCGGGAGAGCCCTGGCATCGCCGGCAGCATGCCAGGGTCAGACGTGGTCCCTGGCACGTCCCGAGTGGCTGCTTCCTCCATCCCTATCCTGCTCCTCTGAAAGCATCCTCCGGACACAACCCAGCTCCCGCCTTGGCGTTGGGGAGCGGGATGCTCACCAGCTGTCGGCACGGCGCGAGCCCCCTTCTGCTGGCACGTGCCCTGCTAACCCCTGCCTGCCGCTCTCCCCTTCCCTCCTGGCAGAGACGGTGCGAGCCATGACCCATGTCATCAACCAGGGGATGGCCATGTACTGGGGGACCTCGCGCTGGAGCTCCATGGAGATCATGGTAGGGGCCCAGGGGCGGCCGCGGCAGAGCAGCCCTGGTGCTGTTGGTGATGCTGATTTAATTAGACAGCAGCTGTCAGGAGCCGAGCGCTTGCAGATGCGCTTAAGCCGTAATTATTTTTCGAGGTGGCTGCTCAGGGCTTGGCCGGGGGGGCTCAAGGTGGGGGGTGGGGGCTGGCAGGGCACTGAGGGTCCCGGCTCTTCGGCAGGAGGCGTACTCGGTGGCCCGGCAGTTCAACCTGATCCCGCCGATCTGCGAGCAGGCTGAGTACCACATGTTCCAGCGGGAGAAGGTGGAGGTGCAGCTCCCTGAGCTCTTCCACAAGATAGGTACAGTGGTGGGGGTCCTGCCCCAGCCCCCCCTCCCCACAAAGCACAGTGCTCCCCAAAGCCTGGTGGGGCACAGCGCGTGTCCCTGGGGGAGCTGGGGGGCAGCAGCATCACCCCCCCGCTCTGCTCTGCCCTCAGGTGTCGGAGCCATGACCTGGTCCCCGCTGGCCTGCGGCATCATCTCGGGGAAGTACGATGGGGGGATCCCCCCCTACTCCCGCGCCTCGCTGAAGGTGAGCCCCGCTGGGGGGGCTCGTGACGGGACAGGCAGAGCCAGGGGAGCAGGAGGTCCAGGAGCCATGACCTGGGGCGTTTGGGGATGCCCTGCCTGCACAAGGTCCCCATACAGCCCGGTTCCCCCATGACACCCCCGCTGAGCCCCCTCTCGCCCTCCCAGGGATACCAGTGGCTGAAGGACAAGATCCTGAGCGAGGAAGGTCGGCGGCAGCAGGCGAAGCTGAAGGAGCTGCAGGCCATCGCCGAGCGCCTGGGCTGCACCCTGCCCCAGCTCGCCATCGGTAAGGGGCTGGGGGGCGGTCCAGGAGTACCAGGGAGCCGTTGGGGGCAGCTGGGCCACGCTCAAGCTCTACTTTCCCTCCTGCCCCAGCCTGGTGCCTGCGCAACGAGGGCGTCAGCTCCGTCTTGCTGGGTGCCTCCAACGCCGACCAGCTGATGGAGAACATCGGAGCAATACAGGTCAGCGCGCGCCGGGGGCGGCTTCGCAGCGAGAAGCGAACAGACCCTGCTCATGGGGCTTGAACGGGGCAGCGCCTGCCTGCACATGCTTTGCTGCTGCAATGCATGCTGCTCTAACGCGCTGCGGAGGGAAAGGAGGTTGCAAACCTGGCTCCAAACAAAAAAATTAGGGGTTTTTGCTTGATCTGAATGTGAGCGGCAGACGTGAGGCTTTGCTGGGCTGAGAAGGCAGGGGAGGAGCCCAACCTAGGCTTTCTGTAACTGGGTTGCTCAGCTGGCACGCTGGGGCTTGTAGCATGGAGGTGGTGGGGTGGAGGCGGTGAGCGCGGCACGGCTGTGTGCCGCCGCCGGCTGCATCCCCCCCGCATGCACCACCAGCGTGATCCTGACTCCCACTGGTGTCCCGTCCCCCCCAGGTCCTTCCGAAGCTGTCGTCTTCCATCGTCCACGAGATCGATAGCATCCTGGGCAACAAACCCTACAGCAAGAAAGACTACAGATCCTAAGCGCGCCACCTGCCGCGCAGCCCTCGCCGCCCGTTCGCTTGCTTACGCTTTGTTGGAGCAAAGTGGAGAGTGTGGTTTGCACCGCAAGCCCGACGCGCCGAGAGCCAGCGCTCCCGCCCGCGCTGCCCCGGACCACCGCACCGCTTCCACCCGACATGGCTCTGGAGCGCAGGGACGGCCGCCGGCGGGG